TGTGGAAAGGGAATTTCACGAAGGCAGTAGTGTCACAAAAACCAGGAAAAGCCCAAGGGGAACATCAGGTCAGCCAGAAAACAAACTTACATAGGAAAAGGAATCAAATAAAAAGTATTAAAGAATCCCTATAGACAAAAGCCTAAGTAATTAAGAAAACTAGACAGATAGGAAAAGGAAACAAAAGATAATTTAGAAAACCCTTACAAACACAGGACATACCAAATAAGCAAAACAAACAGACAAAAGACACAAAATATATATTACAAAAGGGACAGACAGGAGATTGCCACAGAACAAATATGAAAAACTATCTTAAAGCTAAAAGAGATTACAGAAAACCAATAATACAATCTGGCCACCCCGCGGAGTTTGCCTTCCGTACCCCGCGGAATTTGCCCTTCGGCGGGAATAAAGACAAACTCAAACAGGATTTGAAACATTAGGCACAAATACAAACACTCACACAAAATCAACTTACAAAGGGAGAAAAGGGTATAAAAAACAAGGGGCTTACCATAAGAAGCTAGCTAGCCCAGGAACGCAGACTTCTCGCTGTTCTCCGCCTTCCTGAAAAATAAAAAGATCCAGCTTTCAAGCAGTTGTCTGTATCCTTGCGCCGGAGCTCTCCCAGCGGGAAAATCGAATCCTCGAAAGAAAGGCATTTTGACACCTTTCAAGAAAAGGATGACATCAATGGGCACTACTGTCAGAATTTGAAAATGCTTTTAAAAGATAGTTTTCTTAATTATTTTACTCCCTGTTTTAGTGAAATATAATCTTCTCATAAAACAACCGTTTGCACACTAAAAAGCACTTATTACCAACAGAGATATGCTAGAACATGTAATCTGATAACGGACAAGGAAGTAGTATACTTGTTCCCACTATAATCTGTCTCCCATAAAATTTTCTTCTGCAGAAGTACCCTGTCTTCCCATCCTTCCCTCTAATTCATCCCAATGTATTTAATAATATTACCTCAGTCAAGACATTTCATACATCTGATGTAATGAGCTGCAGACTTTTGTCTTACACTAAAACGTGCTATTCTGAGGTAATCGTTATTTTGGAGAGGCCAAACTATAATTTTGACCTTTTTCTAATTATCCATAATTGTGTTAGATGAGGATGTAATACATACAGCAGAAAAACATATTTCTCAAAAAATTAAAAAGCAGTCACTGGCAATGGAAGAAAAATAACAAAGGGGAAAATAGTATCAAACTATCTAGGATAAAAGTGACTATATTACACAAAGAAAGCAATTTGAGGAATATATATTTTAAGCTGATGTGCAAAATTCAGCGTATTCATATCCAAAGATAAATATGTCAGAGTATATTCTATAAGTAAATTAAAGGAACTAAAATACTGCAGAAGCTTTCTTTTCAGATTTACTTAAGAATCCTCCCAGTTCAAATGAAGTTGAGGAAGGCTAGAATGTGGAGCAGGATGAAACCATGTTACAAAGCAATAGAATAAAGATTGCCTTTCTCAGCTTCTAACTTTACATTTATTGTCTTCACCTTCAACATGCTATATTTCTGATTAATTTTTAAGAGAGAAGAGGAGAGGGGAGGGCAAAGAAGGTAAGGTATGGTAAAGAGGTGTTACCAGGTTCTTTCTGATTTTAGGTATAGCTATAAAATATCTTCCTGTATTTATCACTGGTTGTTTGCTCTTCTGCAAAATAAGCTCATAATTGCAACTAGCATTAAAAACCATGAGACCTCAACAAAAGAACCTTATTACTGCGTTGAACCAAAAGCATAGCAAGTTCCTGAGCTTGAGAAATGGCCTTTTCAGAGAGGCTTTCCCAAATAATATGCCAGCCAACAGAAAGGCCAAATCATGTAAACTAGTAAAAAAAATCTGATATAACAAACACTGTTGATTATTGATGCTGATGATGCTTTTTTTTTTTTTTAGTAATTTAATTTCCAATGATATAACCGTACCACCACAGACCCCTTTTTGGCCATTTTTTTGGGTGGTATACTTAACACCATGTACAGTACAATTTACTCCCAAAGCTAAAAGTAGCAATGTGACAAGCATATGTACATCTGTTATGGAGCAGTTTTGCTGTACCATAAAATATGAAATAAGCCTTGCACATACACCGTTATTTGCACAAAGTACAATAGAAACAGTGTCACATAAAAATACTGAAGTAAAAAAGATAAATGCCTTGTCCCTGTCTATACATTTTCTCCCTTTGAATGTTTAGCAGAAAAAAAAATGCTGATTATGTTTGCAACTATCCAATGCATACCCCATGATAGATACATTTTTTCTATCAACAGCATGCAAATAGGGTAGCCCTTTTCATCTGAAGGAATGCTTTAGGAATTAAAAGCTGCATTTCTTAACAGTTATGTTTTTTCTAATTAAAGAGCAAATGAAGTTGTTTTTCTCTCAGCTACATTTGACAGAACTTAAAATTCCTTTCAATTCATTAATATTTGAGATACAAAGTTCATATACACAGTAAGAAACTGATGGCTGTGCACTTTAAGGAGCCCTAATATTTAAATCTACTTGTATGTATATATAGTTGGGCAAAAATATACTGACTTGGCAAGACCATAAAATTTTATCTGTCCCTACCTGAAATATAGGGAGTGTTCAAACATGCTGAATCAGGATTTGTTTATTAGGTGTCACAGGTAAACTGATAAAAAGAAAATTTCAGAAACATTAAATTCTCAGTGAAATACTTTAAAAGGTATCTAGTAACCTATTTTAGCAATGCAGCTAAATTTTTGAATAAACATAGTACTCGTTGTAAGAAAGGATTATGAATCTCTGGTATTTGTATCATATGAAGAATATATTGGATGGCTGAAGGGGATATATAACAAATTATCTAGAATGTATGGCCTGTTAAGCATTTAATAATATCATTCTCTTATGTTAACCACACCCATGCCACAGATATGTTGCAGGATTACAGCAAGTTTTTTGGATGAACATGTTCTGGCTGTCAAGCAAGTATTAAAGATGATTTTCTGCCCCACCTTTTCCTGGGTGAATACATTTATTTTGAAATAGTGCCAAGAACTGTTGGTGAGTAACTGTGATTATTTTTATTGCCCCACCCTTTTTCTAACCATACCAATTTAATTAACACACCTTCTGTAATTTAAAAGAAAAAAGCGCCAAGTCCAACTACATCCTCAGCTACACGGCTTCAGTGAACCCATTTTTAAGCATTACTGCTAGGCTTGCTGAGCTCATACTAGTACTTAAAAATTATTAACCCAACTCACTGAATCCATGTTGTTCATTAGTAGGCCAAAATGCAAGTGGTTTGGTGAATCAGTGTTATGCAAACACTATATTGTCTGAAACTACCTCACAGGGTTACTGTTGAGGAGGAAAAAAATGGACAATACTATGCACATCACCTCAGGTTCCAAGAAAAGGCAGGATAGTATCTAGTGAATGAACAAGGAAAGGCATGCCTGAAATACAATTCTTGAAAAGTGGTTATCTACTTTCTAGAAAGAATCCTCAAAAAGGATTTAATAGGTGTATTGTACTGTATTTATTTAGCAC